GGGAGGAGGGGGAGGGGGACCAACCCGTGTCGAGTCCAACTCGACGAGTCCCCCGGGGCCCCGCAACACCCCGGCAACACTCTCAACTCCGGAGGCCGCTGCCGGGAACAACATGAACAACAACAGTAGCAACAACAACAGCAGCAGCAGCAATATCAGCAGCAATATCAGCAGCAACAACAGCAGCAGCAGCAACAGCAGCAGCAACAACAGCAGTAGCAACAGCAGCAGCAGCAGCAACAGCAGTAGCAGCAACAGCAGCAGCAGCAACAGCAGCAGCAGCAACAGCAGCAGCAGCAACAGCAGCAGCAGCAGCAACAACAACAACACGAGTAGTGACGGTGGTGGCAGTAACCGTGGCAACAGGACCTCGCAGCCATTTATCATTAGGGCCATTTTGACAGGTGTCATAAAACTGGACGTGAGTGAGGGGAAGATGCAGGGTGAAGGGGGGGAAGAAGAATGGCGAAGTGAATGGAAGAGCTATACATGCGTGCAAAAGAGGGGTGAAATGTACGGAGTGGGGGGAATTATGTGACACGCAAAGAGCACGCAAAAACCCTAACTGCCCAGACCCAAGGGAGCCACGTAGCTGCGCGAAGGTGCTCCGGAACCTTTTTGCCCCGATATATTACTTGCCTACACGTATGCACGTATGTATGTTTGTATGTTGTAGTCGTACTCGGTGGCTGGCTCTAAGCGTGTACGTGCGAGAGAGGCACGTTGCTCTCTGGGGCAGGCTAGCTGCGGCGGTTGGAAAAAGGGGGAAATGGGATGAGAGGGAAGGGTAGTAGTGGGGGGTTGTGCGGAAGTGAGTGCGAAGTGACATGGGTTTTGATACGGTTTTAGGGTTTTAGGGTTTGGGGTTTTAGGGTTTTGGGTGCCCCGGGGGCTGGAGAATGAACGTGGAGGGGAATTGCTGCTGTTTACGCAGCCAAGAAATGTCTTGTACGACAGTACGGCGATGGTAAATTGCTACGAATATAAGTTATCCCTTCCCCCCGCCTACTCCAACCCCCTCACAATCAAGGAAAAAAACAAACAACCCCGTTTGGCTCTCCACGGGCCCTGCGCCGACTTCTACATGGTGTGAATGCAGGATGGAACGACGTACAATGTGGGTACGGAACTCAACGATTTTGTGTACGGCACCCTTGCGACATGGTACAATGAAGACGTACAATCACCTCGCGCGCAGCTGGAGGTGCCTCCGAGTTACACGAATGGTGAGTTTTGTGACAAAGCGGGCCGGTTGAGCCAGGCGGGCGGGGAGGTGGGTGGGAAGGCGGAAGACGAGTTGTGTGTGTGTGTGTGTGTGTGTGTGTGTGTGTGTGTGTGTGTGTATGCATGTGTATATGTGTCTGTAATGGCCCATTTATGCATGCTGGCGGTGTGTGTGTGGGGGGGAGGAAGAGCAAATGCCATAAACAGCACTCAAACTGCCGCATGTGGGACGGGCTTACCCCCTCACAGTTCGTGTTTTGGCCATCCGTACATGTTCAGCACTGACTTATGCACACAATCCAACGGCCACTCCCTAACCGGGGCCGGGTGAGGTGACTTCGCCCGTATGTATGTATGTATGTTTGTATTGGGAACCTGCATGCCCGTGATTGACGGGGAATCCACATCCCTCCCTTCTGCCTTTCCTATCTCCCTTCACGCGGATGCATACATGCATACATGCATGCGTACATACATACATACATACATACGCACAGGCTACGCAGCCGCCACTGCAACTACAGAAAATGGTGGTGGCGATAGGGGTGCGGGGGGTAGTACTGGCAGCGGACTTCGGTCGTGGATTGACGACCACGTGTTTGTGCCTGTGCTGGTGGGGGTGGGGGGGCTGCTGCTGCTGTCTTTCGTGGTCGCAATGTGCGTAGTGCCGTACAGATTGCTGGCGAGGAGGAGAGTGACATGAGGGGATGAGAGGTGAGGGATGGATGGAGGGAGGGGGGAAATGGAGGGAGGGGGGTTCCATGTATGTGCGTGTGCGTGTGTGTTTGCGTGTGTTTTTGTGTGTTTGTGGGAGCCGTGTTGTGAGGGTAAGAAGGGGAGAGGAGGATGAGGATGAGGAAGAGGGTGTAGAAGCTGTCGTACAGTAGTATAGCGAACACCATCAAATGCCAATGTGCTCTAAAGCGCATTCCTAGATTCCTAGAGAGAGAGAGAGAGAGAGAGGGGCGGGAGGTAGTCGTCCACGAGGCTGATCAGGCGGGAACAGGCGGTAATTTTGGTGGTGAATGTAGTGGTGCATGATGGTGGGTCCTTCATTTGGCCAAAAAAGCTTATCCCTTCCCTCCGGTGTCAATAGAGTTTGTAAGGATCAACGCGCGAGGAGGACGCGGAAGGTAAGAAGAAGGGATAGCTGCGGGCGCTGGGCTGCTAATCAAGATGAAGAGATGGAGGGGGGGGATATCCGTAATAAGTTGGCTGTAGCTTTTTGTGCTCGTACGGCATCTGTAAACTATCTAATGGCCGATGTACACTCTTCAATTTGACAGGCGGTGTGCCAACGGCGGTGATTTGTCGGGACGGCGGCTTATAGCATAGTTGCCATGTGTGATGTGTGATGTGTGATGTGTGATGCAAGAACATGCTGCTGTTGCTTAAAAGGATGGGCGGTAAGGTTTGTTGAAAGCTGACAGAAAAATCGCATGAATCGACAGCTTATGTAGACAGGAAGGCGAATAGATAGACAGCCAGACAGACGGACAGATTGCGTTATTCGATGGCTGGTTAGCTGCTTAAGTATTTCAGATCTAAGCAGAGATGTTGCTGTTAGGTGGCTCTGGTTAGATCTCTTTTTAAATAAATTCAGACAGCGAGCGCACTTAGCTGGATAGATACACGAACAGTGTAGAGACGCAGCGCAAAGGCTATCTACCTATTCGAGTTGGCTCCAGGGAACCCATCTCGGCTTTTTTTGCGGGTTGGATGCTATAGCTAGGAGCTGTCCACTGCTACAAAGAGACAGCTGGCGGGTGAGAGGGAATGAGGCGCGCGCGGAGGAACAGACGGACGTAGAGCAGCGCGGCCCCCTCCTGCGTTGTGTGTCGGCCCGGGCAGGGCCGGTCAGTGCTCGTCCTTTCTCGGGACGAGCCGCCCACAGTGTAACACCCCCAGCTGGGTTATACTTACAATAGCAACATAGCTGGCAAATGGTTAGGCCTATATATGTCTGTGATGTCGTACACGACTAATATTCATTTTGTATTGTAAACGGTCAGTACATGGACAATATGGAACGCTATGTCTCGGAACACAGGCATGCATGCAGCCCCAGTACTAACACATGCAGCGAGCGGTGATGACCTCTCCCTGCCCGACACATGCACATGCACACACATATAGGGGGACGATGTTCGGTGCAGTGGGGAACAGAATGCAACGAACAGAATGTGCACCCGCACATATTGGGAATAATATCCTTGCCCCGACAACCGGTCGGCCACGCCTAAATGCCCGTGTGCCCAGCAAAACACGCCGATTGCGCCACACACGAGATAATAAAAGTAATTTTATATAATCATTCCTTATTTATCTGTACCATTCAAGCGGTCGCGTGGCCTAATGGATAAGGCATCGCCCTCCGGTTTAATGTCGGGGGTTCAGGCGGGGATTGTGGGTTCGAGTCCCATCGTGATCGGCCAGTAGCATTTGCGTATTAAAGATTTTCTAACTATTATCCTGTAAGTCTTCACACAAATGAAGAGTTAAGCAGATTTCGATAGTCTTTTGTTGGGGACATCATACGAATAGGAAATGGTAGAAGAAACCGCTGAAGACAAACCCTTAAAACGCGCGCACCATTCAGTAAGGATGCAAACAAATTCACAAAGTAGATCCTTTCAGCTAGGACGAGCACAGCCGTCATAGACGGAGGAAATACTGAGGTGCACAGTACACCTGGAGGTGAAAGACGGAGAGCAGGGCAGGACAGCCGTCGGGCGAATAACGGAACGAGGAAGGCCGCAAAAGACAATTGCGCGAACTTAGTCATGACCGAGGCATAGCTCGCGCTAAATAGCCGACATATTGAGAGCGAGATGGAGTTTTACTTCACGACAGCGAAATCCCCACGTCCAATGGGCATCCAAAGGGTGCATAGCTACGCGGCCAGTGAAGGTGTGCTTGCTCTGCTTCACACACGAGGGATTCGAACAGCTAGCTCGAGCGATGCGGAAGACTTGTGTCCGGGGTGGAAAGCGATGGAAGGCGGGCGCATGGGAAGTCCGAGCGAGCGAACCGGCATCGTACGTGAGGCCAAAAGTTGCCGTACATGTGTCGGAGAATGCGTGACAAAGGAGCCATGCATAAAGCTTGACACGCTTTCGAGGGGACTCAGGTGCCCCTCTCTACAAACTTCAGTACAAATCCCTTGGAAAGTTCGTAGGTACACGTTGTTGTCAGGACAGGTACGTTGCATATATGCGTGTTGACTGTGTTCCCACGTGCGGAAGGTTGATCACCCGCCGCACATTCTGTGCAGCCGCACACATAGAGCGAAGCCGTGAGAGCTGTTGACGAGGATGGCTGCTCCCTACGCTAAGAGGGGCGCTACCCCTGCTGGTAGGGGAGGGACTGCCGCTGTGCTGGTGGCGCTTCTCATTGCATCCCTGGTGGGCACGGGGCCTGACCCGGTGGCTGCGGCAGGTAAGGGCTGCCTAATTCATATCCTTGATGTCTGCTTGTATTCAGTTTTCCTGGATAAATTTATCCTTTTGAAGCATTTCAATTTTCTATCTTCTGGCCAATTACCTGACCTGCTGCTATTTCGCTTCGACTGGACTCCCTGGCCTTAGTAAGGAATGTTAGGAGTAGTTGTCGTATAGGCTGTAATCATTGAGCATGCGTAAAACGGCCGCAGATCTTGCGGAAAGCGCCGATGATATACATGCAGAACAGTGATACTGTGTAATGTGACTATTCGTGCTTATTTTTAATCATGTTTGACTGCGGACAGAAGATTTGCATGCTTGGTTAGGCATGTGTTGTTGCCTGCCGAGCGCTGCAGTGCAGCAGCGGTCGTGTCTTTCTGCGCCAATGTCTCGTCACCAATTCCACGCATCTCACCGCAATTTATCTTCACTGTATTTTATCAGGTCTAAATTTGATATCCCCACATTTTTGCACATCCTTCACTCGCAGGGCCCTGAGGGAAAAACTCTTCCGAAATGCCAGACAATCATGAATAGTCATCGTTCCTCCAATGCCGAGGCTTATTGATTGCGTCGTATTTCCTGTCTTTCATTATCTTTTGGAAATTGGCCTTCGTATTTTGGAGTTGGTACGGAGTTTTTATCCTGGCACTCGTACCTTGCATCACGTATGTGTGAGAGCTGCTGAATAACTTCCTAGTCTATGGCCCCTTACGCTATGCATCTCACCTTACTATGTATTCCTACATGCATATGCGCACCATACATACATACATGCATAACTAGGGTTTGGCACTACTGGTAAGGCGCGACCATTGCCCCCGGGAGATCCCGGGATCGATATCCATTAGGGTGAAAGGTCCTTCCGATGGTGGAAGGCGTTGCGCCCCTAGTTGATGGATGGTGGTGACCTGGGAAAAGGTAACCTGCGAGCCGACCAGGAATGGAGTTGGGCCGCTGTCGACCCGGCAGATTCCATTGGATGCTGGTGGTGGGTGCGGAACCTGAGCGATCCACTGAGATGTTGACTAGGGTGACTGGATGAGGGTGTCCCGAAATACCGGGAAAGGCAGGGTTTCGCAGGGTAGCTGCCACGGGCGAAGATACACCCCCCTGTTTCACACATCATACGTAGGCACGGCTGCTGAAGTCTCACACCGGCGAGCTCTGCGCCAACAACAGCCGCCGCCGAGCGCACAGGCGACGTCGCAGGCCTCAGCCTCCTCAAACGCCGGCCAGGCGGTAGCGGATGCGCGGTCCTTCGCGCAGGTTGCCGGATCAGGCAACGCCCAGGCGCTTTCCCAGGTGGGCTGCGGTCAAAAGACCCAAGCACCTTTCATCTAGGACATACAAAATGGGACATCTCTAGGCAGGTTGCTGGCCCCAACCTGATGCGGGTGTGTGTGTATGTGTGTATGTGTGTATGTGTGTGCTGGTAATAGTGTCCAGATGGCCATGGTGCCGCACATGTTTAATGATGTTATAGTGTTGTAATGGCTGCATCTCCTAGGCGGCAGGTAAGCACGGGGTGAGGTCTATTGGAAGCATGTGGTGAGGAAAAGGAGGCGATAAAGGCTTGAATAAAGGTTATCCATAGCTGCTAATAAACTTGCAGCCGTCCGCAGTCAACTGAGCGGCCTGAGAGTCGTGGGCTCCTTCTCTCCGTTTACCTTATCTCATCACGATTCACTCTCGTGCACCCACAGCATTTGACCCGTGTGTCCATGATTTCCTTAATATGATGTACGGATACGCTAGGAGGACACGCAGCAGCACTCGCAGAGAAAATTGCATGCTGGAATAAACAAGTCTGTAGCTGCAGCAGCAGTGTAGTACGTACGGCACACACATCGTCCATGAACATTCGCTAAGGCGTTCCGCTCCAGCCTCTTGCGTGAGGAGCCTTTCTCCAAGTTGTAAACCCAATGCTTCCGCAAGCGCGTTTTCTAATATGCGCACCTAGCTGCTGTGTCCATTATCCGTGCTGCAACTTGTGGCTTCATAGCTGACGTTATTCCCTTTGCGCGGCACGGTGTAATCACTCACGCACACACACGCGCACGCCCACACACACACACATACGCTGCTCCCTGTCGTCGTCGGTCCTCCTTCCAGCTGCCCCTTCGCCTTGCTCTTGCGCTGCATTGCAATGCTCCAGTGTCGCTCACTATCTAAGGGCCGGTTACCGAGTTCCGCGCAGGACCCATGTCTGACCCTCGCCCTCCTCCTTTCCGTTCTTAACCACCACCACCACCACCACCACCACAATACACCCACGTCTCGCTGGTAGGCTATCGTTGGTGCCGACGGTGGTAGTGGAGGCGCAGCAGCGCAAGGACTTGCCAACGCCGCGGCACAGGTAGGTGTCCAGTTTACCATGCATGCTGCAACAACGCGGCTTGACTGGCAAAGTGGATATTTTAGGCTATCGTGGTTCGATGATCTAGGCTGCCTGACCTATCGGTGTATCATCAGTCGAACTACACGACAATGACGTCAGGCAGCTATTACTCTGCAGGTCTCTGTTTGTGTGTGTGTGTGTGTGTGTGTGTGTGTGTGTGTGTGTGTGTGTGTGTGTGTGCGTGCGTATATTGTATGGGGTGGATGGTTGTGGCTGCGGTTGACGGAGGGTAGCTGCGCGAAATTAGATCGCGGAGGTGCATGGCCGTGTGCCCTCCGGTTACATTGATGCAGTCAGTCGATTCCTCTTGCATCTTGCCATCGTCTAATTATGGATAGGGCTTTGCGCAGAGGAGCACTGGCAACGATCCCTTCCCGCGCAAATCTGAGAACCCACCATCACTTCCAGTCCATCACATCATCAGGATGACTCTCCCTGTGGTTCTCTCCGCAAGAAAACAAATCAAAACCCTCCAAAGGGATCCGCACTGCTTTCCTGTCGACCACAATTCAATTCGCAGGGAGGAGTGGCGCAGAACACTGCGGCACAGGCCATCGCTCAGGCGTCCGCCGAGTGTGAGTTTTTGAAATACCCACCCATTTCTTGGCGTAGTTG